AACAAAAGGCACACCTTCACAGTTGTATCAATATATGGATCCTCATCACGAGCTGCTGCTGCACTGCACCGCACTGTGAAACACTGCAGTTTCTCACTAGAGGGAAAGAAGAAACCACAACAGTGAAGTAAAAAAATGAACACTTGCAAAAATCAAGTAGCCAAGACCACAAAGAATGGATCTTTTTCCTTCCTAGAAACGGGTCTTGAGGCCTAGGCAGGAGGACATGCTGCTTTATCACATGAGCCTACCCAGAGAGTTCCAGGAGGCTATGAGGACATATCAGAGGGAAGGAAAAAAAAAAACAAAAAAGGCAGCAGCATAGAGAAATGTAATAATACTATCAGCAAAAATCATAAACGCACCTTGTAATGACATGCAGGAACTGTGGAGTGAGAACTGCCTGCTCCGACTTCTCTGAATATTGGTAAGTAGAAATCAGTTCTACCAACTTCCCAACAGAGTAGAGATATCCAACGTGAGGTAAAGAGAAAAAGCAAAAGAGACTCAGTAGTTCGTTCTCATTCTCAGTTTCCTCATGGGCCGCCACAGGACTTCCTAGATGTAACAATAAGAAAAGCATTTTATACACCTCATAAATCAAAACCTGGCAATTCCTTTGCAACCCTGATGCCTCAAAGATATTAACAAACCCACCCTGGCCGCAGACTGGTTTTGTTAGTAGCTAGTGAAAAGAACCATATGAAGATCAGAGTACAGGCCAAAGATTTGTATGGCATGTTATCTGGCATCTGGAGACATTTTTAACAAAACTGCAGATATACCACCGTGTGAAGAAATTCTATACTTGTAACAGCATCCGAGAGCCCTTGCAGATTCATCACAACTAAGCATCTATGGATTGAATGAGCAGCCCGATCTTAGACAACTACTCATGAGCTGGGATGAACACTCATCCAGAGCTGCAGTGCACCAAAATACAGGTCCTTACTAAAGTGAAAAAAAGGCTGGGAATTGCAGAATTTACCTCTAAAGCCACTTGGGCATGTAAAGGCTGTGTTCCATTTCTACAGACCCTCTTGTCAAAGGCTGTAGATCACAAGACAACATAAGGTAGCTGGAGTTAAAAAACAAGTAGCTCATTCTCTTGAGTCAGCTGCAACTTAAATGAGGCTTTGCTACTTAGCAGGCAGACAACAACCACAGAGGGGGTGAGCAGGTAAAGCCTGGCAGAAAGGTAACCTGTATCTTAATGATTATTAAGATTTCCAGTGTTGGCTGGAACAGAGAGATGCAGCCTAGTATCTGAGGATAATTTTATGAACGCAATGTAAAGAGTAACTGTTTTGTGAGGTAACATAAATCAGCAAAGAACTGATAAAAGCTGATTTAGTCTTCCTCTTTTGGTGTGGTGAACTGATATTTTAGTTCAAGGTTTATGCAGAACTTGGAGAAACTTAAAAGACTTTTTTTTTTGTTAACAGATGCTCAGTTTAAATCAATGAAAAGGAAGGCAAGATCTTAATTTAAAAAAAAAGTCATACCAGAAACAACATACAAAACACAATATACAAAGAAGCCCCTTCCTTTCCCAGGTCTCCCATGACCCAGGCCCTAACACACCCACACACAGCCATGTACCTGTCCGGAACACAGGAAGCAGTTGAAGAGAGTGCAGCTTTGTGTCTTCACAAAAACCAAAAGGCGACTGGTCCGGTGTAAAACGTCTAGAGAAAAAAATGCCAGAAGAACAACATGGGATCTCAGTGAGAAATGATGAGCTTATAAAAACCCCAGAAGTCAAAATATCAGGATTTTTCTTTTAACAACATGGAAACTAAATTAACCCATGAAGAGGAAAATGCCTTTGTAATACCTGAAAAGCAGATACCGCACTTGGAAGCGCTTTGTGTCTTCTGTAGGTAACTCTGTGGATTCCAGTGTGACGGGTACCTCACAAAGCTTACTTTCTTCCCCAAGCAGCTCCACTGGCTTCTGGCATATGATAAACTCATCTAATTCAAGCTGCGAAGTAAGTGTTGAAGGGCCTTCATCTTTTACACCTTAACAATGAAAATGCTATATTAATTGTCCATTCCATTCCATTTAGCAGTAAGAAAATTATATGACACAGTATCAATCAAATACTCCAACCACAGCTACCCATATAGTGTTGGCTTCCTCAAACCATGAGGTTCTGAAAACAGCTAGGCCAGAAGATGAGAACAATCCTTCATTTAAGCCTCAACAGCCTGAATACCTGAGAGGTAAGATTTCTGAAAGAACAAGTAAAGTGTTCATAAAGCAGGTCCAAGGTAATCTGTGCTGCAAATCGCTGGCCATCAAAAAAAGGTCAAAAAAATTTGTTGGAAGCATCCTTAGCTGTGTAAGCCAGTATGCACAGTCCATTTCAAGGTTCGTGAGATGTTTCTTCCATTTCGACTCCCACCGGTCCCTTAGATGGAATAATTTTTCTGAACACAGCACACTGAACTACTACCACTTTGATCTGGCCCATGGTGGCACCCCAGAACAGGAACCTAACCCTCTGTCTGTAGAGGCTGCACTATCCTGAAAGGGTCTGCAGAATGATGGCGTATTTGTTTTAAGTGCTACCTCTAACTGCAGGTGGTACAACTTCCCATGCTGACAGTTCTAAGATGATCTGGAAATATTTCCTGAAGGGCAATGAACTGGTCTGAGCCTACTTTAATAGGAATCAGCTTGCAGATTCTTGGAAATGATAATAATAAAAAAAGTTTAATTTCTGTACTTACCTCCATCCACAGGCTTTTCTAGTGTGCTAATGCTCTGTGCACACTGCTCTGTCCTGTCTGCACTTTGCTGGACCAGTTCCAGTTTCAGGATCAGAACATCCAGCTCCGTTGTTACAGCTATATGTCTGGCACAAAAGGCAACTTCAGCAGGAATGAGGTTATCAATGTGCAAAATTAAGGAGCGTTCAAAGTCTAGCACAGTCAAATTCTGGTTTATGACCAGATACTTCAAACAGAACACGACAAGTTTATTTTTGCAGCCCACAAGAAGGTCTCCACTTACAGGACAACATGAAATGCAGAGGGGAGGATCTGAAAGTGGCATTTCCACAATCGACATCTGTTCTTTTAAGGTTTCGCTGTATGACTCTTCCATCTTGTGACCAACCATCCGAACGCAAACACGAGAACTCCCTGCAGACATGCATCGCCAGTTCACATACGCTCTTAGGAAAGTGGCTTTGCTCTTCTCTTCAATTGTCACCAGATAGTCTCCTTCAAAGAAAGCAGCAGTACTGGTAAGACTAAATGATACAGTTCTTGAGCTCTTTACCTGTTATAGTACATGACAAAGAACATCCTAAATTCTCGACTTTTAGAGAAGTTTCCAAACCCACTTTTCACCCATTTTTCTCTAACTAAATCCAAGGTGCAAGTTTATTTGCTGGGTGGAACACACTCCATATACCACTAAAAAAAAGGACTTGTAGATTTAGGTCAAACCTAACTCCTAATAGAATCCACTGCAGGAGCTGGGACCGCAGACAGGGTTTCTCCCCCACCAATGCCCATTAACGAGAAAATGTTTTCTTTTCTGAAGCCCGGGGGAAGTCACGGACCCGTCAGGAACGGCGGGGCCGGCTGGAACGGCCGCCCGCCCCGCACACCGGGAGGACAGGACCTCAGGCTCCCACCGCCCCGCGGGACGGCGGCAAAGCCAACGTCCCGGGCACCCCGCACCGGCCCGGCCACCTCCAGCGCCCGCACGGCTCCCAGCGCCGGCCCCACCGCGGCCCGGGACAGGCCCGAACGCG